CCCCAAAACCCCAAAACCCCAAAACCCCAAAACCCCTTTCAGTATAACTTTATTGAATAATCCCTTCTAAATTTTTAGGATGTCTTCTCTAAGTCAAGCTTCTATTCTCTGCTGTATCATCAGCATATGGAACTCTAGCAACATTACGAATATCGTTCATTTCATAGTCAAGCTTGCCTTGAGTAGTATCGGCCTTATTCTTATAGTAATAGACAGCATAAGCGAGAGCTGCTATAATAAGCATAGCAAAGAATATTATAAACCATGGGACTCCTCCTAGCCAGCCTACATTTATAGAGACTGTTAAAGGCTGGAATAACACTGCAGCCTTATCTCTATTTACAGACGCATAGAAGTAGAATGTGACGTATCTCTCATTTTCAATAGCAGGGTATTGATTAAGGTCAAAAGTCTTTTCCTGGTTGTATAGTCCAAACTCTTCATACAGTGGTTCATGTCTTGCCCTATGATGTCTGAGTCCACAGAGTGAGTTTGTGAATATGCTTCTTTCCTATAAAAAGTTAAATACGATAGACTAATATTCCTACCTTAAAGGCCAGCATTGTTCCGATTGTTAAGAACTCTTCAGTGCTAAACTTTCCTTCCTTGAGTATATGACCCCATTTAAGATGCAGGTGAGCATGTTGAGGCCAATCATACTCGATTCTACCTTCATCCTGAGGGTAATAGTTCCTCAGGCTGTACTTCGAATTAGGATGATCGAGATCATAAAAAACCATCTGGAACGCACAATACTCAACAGAATTCCTACTTTCTTCCCATTCCTTCAGCGGGTCACTCTTAACCTTCACAAAGTAAGGCCCAGAAGCTTGGGTAAGAATCACAGATTTTATGCCGTTAACCATCGTACTACTTCTCTGGATCGAGCCTGAATGATGAACTGCATTTTCATAACTCTTGAAGATGAACATCTCTGTCATGCACATACATGGAGTCAAGTTAATTTCAATATCTTTTCTTCCGTTTACAAAGAATTTAAAGTAGGAATAATCATCAATCTCTGTAGATAGGGTAACTTCTTGAGGAATATTAGCAGCTAAGATATTCATCTTATGTGAATTTATGTTCACTGAGACTTGGACACTATCATGATCTTTCAGGTTCTCCTTATCTACATTTTCTGGGATTATCACTAAAAGAATCACATGAGGGTTATCATGGTCACTTTTTATAGTTTCCTGCTTTACATAAGTCCTTTCAGATGGGTTCCAATTCTTTTTGAGCCAATCTGAAACTTTGCTCAGATCCTGATTCGGGAAAGATAAATGATCTCTTCTGATATCACGCAAATATTCTTTCTTATAGCCTACATAAAAGAATGCTGAATCTGTGAATCCATTCACTTGGATCTTTAATTCATGATCGATATTTGGGGGATAATACATAAGCTTCAACCCATCCTTATTATCCATGTCAATGGTGTAGGTCTGGGTGTACCCATCTGCAATTATGGAATAAGAGTCATCATGGGTTGCAACTAAAATAAACTCTGAGTGATCGAAGTCTCCTTTAACTCTCACGTATATGTTTTCTCTGGCTTTGAAATATCCGATGTCTACATCATCAACTACTATCTGTCCGTCTTTAGATGTCATGATCGGGCTTTTGAAGTCCTTTTTATCTCCAATCATAAAGCTGATTTTTCCTGCATAGATAGAAGATGTGATCCTAAAAGGCTTCTTCTTGTCAAGTACGAACATGTATTGCTTTTCATGATCAAAAGCTATCTGATCTTTTACTGGAACACCAATCTTGAGTGTTTTAGTAATGAAGGTCTCTCCTTTTTGTACTTCTATTGTATATTTAGCTCCCTGAGGGTTTGAATTGACTGTAGCTAGATAAACTCCATTCTTGCAATAATTCTCATCCTCATTTTCAATGGTAATCGCAGTTTTCTCCATTGAGTTTACGCGCCATTTTGAAGTCTTATCATCTGTAGGTATGTATGCATTCATTGGAGAGTCAAGTTGATGGGGGTCATAACAATTAACCCTCATGACAACTTCTCCGTGCAGTCCTGTGAGTTCAAATTTAAGACTATCATCACCTTTATGAATATACTGGAACATCCTTAATTCATTTCCTTTCTGGTCAATAAGGACCCCTTTGCCATGAGTAAGACTCTTGACTTTTCCCTTGCTTTCTTCAGCATCGACATAGACTATTGAATCTTCTTTAGCGTAGATACCGATCAGGATGGTATTCTGCATAGTTTCGATACCCTTCTTTTTAAAGTATTCGCTCTGGGAATCTAATTCAATATGTTCAGTAAACCATTCATCTCTTTTGATATCATAGCTATCAGGAGTTGGCAGATCTTTATCAGATCCAATATTTAGATACATATCTATATCTGAGTCAATAGCAAAAGTAGCAGCTGATAAGAATATAGTGCAATCTTCACAGTATGACTTATAGGTGAAGTATCCCATCTGGCCCTTGTTAATGACTGCATATGTTGGTGAATTAGGTATCAGTCTCCTTAGATGGTTATAAGCAGTAATGGAGTATTCATTGAATTGTACACTTCCTTTTCCTTCAACAGAAATGACAACCATGCATTCTTCAAAGTCTTCACAATCTTTCTTAACTTCTTTTCTTGTGAAATGGATCATCTGAGAATGACCAACATCAGTGCTAGCCTTCACATAGTCATCAGTAGAGGGCTTGAGCACCTTGAAAGCGTTTGTAGAGTGATCAGCAAATATAGCATACAGCTTGATATCTCCAACCTCAGCATTTGCTGTGATATATAGGTTTTCTTTACTCTTATCAAGAGGCATATAATAAGTCATGATCTCTGTCTCTTTCACATGATCTTTCTGAGGAGTCCCATCATGAAGGAGGTGACCTGCTCCTTTATTTGAGTAAACCTTGAGAGAGAAGGAACAAGAATCTTTTGCTCTTTCATTGATAGAGTAAGTGCTATCAGCACAGTAAACTCCAATGTAGATTTCTCATGGGTTTTCTCCTGTTCTGGCTGTTTCTTTAGGATCACAAGATGGATTAGACTCAAACAAGTCTCTTCCGTCGATTAATATAGAGTCTTTGCCGACCTTCGAAGAATGATAGCTACTATTCTTCATAGTTGGGGAATCATTTGAAGGATCTGTCGAGACTACAAGATCAGACTCCCCTGAAAGCGGAGTTAATGAGACTGTCAATTGGTCAACTTTTGTCAAAGAATGATACCTGAAGTAATCATACTCCCCAATTTTAACAGTGCCGTGTACAGGAGTATTCTGCTTTATGGGTTGAAGACCATGGCCAGTGGAGTATTTAATTGAGAATCTACCTCTCTGAGGGAATGGACCAACCTTATGATTAGGGACGACTAGGATGTATTTTATCCCTTTTGGTTTAAATTTCTCATCAGTTTTCTTCATCATAATATCACTACCATCGAGAGAAGCATAGTCATAATAAGTTGGTTTTGGAAGAGACCCAGATTTTACATAATACGAATAATCTCCAGATGATGCTGTTAGAGTGATCCTTATGTCAGCTAAAGAATTCTCATCCATCGAAGTCTTGAACCTAAAGTATTTTGAGTCATTTTCTCCATGCAAAAACTCATTATGAGTGACTCCTTCTCTCAATAAAATTGGAACTATTGTCTTTTTATCTTCTTCCTCTCCTTCTCTTTTGAGGGATGCTCTAAGGCTGAAAGACGTATACTCTAATCCTTTGACTCCGATGTAATAAACACCAAGAAGAGATCCCTTTCCCTGAGTCTTGCTGAAAGTGACTTCATCTGCAAATCTGCTGCTACGCTCTGATTTCTTCTCAAAATGGTCCCCATCTGGGTACTTATCAACAGTGGACACGTACATGTCTGCATCTCCATGGTGGCTCTTCAGAGTGAATGTGACATTAGTCACAGAAGAATCTCTTTGAATAAATCTAAAGTATTTGAACTGGTGGTTTTCCACGATATTTTCCATTGCAATGCCCTCTCTTAATCTCAGATGGGATGTTTCATTGTGATGAGCAACAAGAGAGAAATGAGACACTTTTTCCATCATTGTCTTTGGAGAGCTCACTAGGATAGCATACATGCAAGGAGTTTCATTGTCATTATTCCCACTTCCACAATTTTTACCATGATGAGTAATGAAGGAGTATTGTTCTCCATGGGCAAGAGTAGATTTTTGCACTTCGAAGTCATCTTTGTTAAAAATCTTTCATTGCTCTTCGGTCTTCCTTCCACAGAACTTGACATACATCTTTGGGATTGGTCCTCCATGAGTTGATAAAATAAAAGTGATATTCAGGTCTCTGACCAAAGAGTCATCAGTGTAGTAGAAGGTCATATCCTGGTCTGTTTTTATTTCATTTGTCTCAGCAATTCCATCCTCAAGAAAATACTCTTGGTTAGATTCAGCAACTCTGAGTCTGTAACTTGTCAAGCCATGGCCGGTTACGCAGATATAGTACCATCCTTTCATCTGACCAACTTGCTTCCTGTCTTCTGGAGTAATAACAAGTACATCATCAGAGGGCTCTGTCGACTTGAAGTCATATTTCTCCAGATTATTAAGGTCTCCAATTTCGGAAGTTGCATAAATGTCAGGATTTCCTGAAAAAGAATACACTCCAATTCTTAAAGTTTTATCAGTACTCTTTACCTTGTACTTATAGCATGAACTATCCCTATGGTAGAGGAAGTCTTCATAGGTTTTCCCTTCAAAGATTTCTCTGTCTTTATACACTAGGTCTACCCTCAAGGTAGCTGAGAGGTCTTCATCTGCTTCGAAAAGGATTTTGTAGGTTTGATCCTGCTGAACTTTAACAGCTGTAAAGTTGGTTATCTTTAAGACAATTCCGTCTTTCCAGACATCTGAGGATGACATATCATTAGTAGTGGGAACACTTTCCTCTCCATCCTTCACGTACATCCTCATACGAGCAGCAGAATCAATTGTCTGAGCTATTATGTAGATATCTTTTACACCTTCATGAGTATTTTTGAAAGTAAAAATTCTTTTCTCGCCCGATTTAGCGATTATGAAGTGGTCCTTCTTAATCCCGATCGGCACCTCTTTTAATAGATCAGCACTAATAGTGTATCCTCAAGCTTTGTAACAATTGGTCGTCACGTAGAACACTGTCCCTGGTGATATTGCTGATGAAGGAATTGTTCAAATATCATCTCCAACCGTAGAGCATGAATACTCACTGCTTGCTCTTGATGTAGGTGCCTCCTCAGTTGTAGATATGAATAAATCAGGGTCGGATTTAGCTCCTGTTGCTCTCACACTCAGTACTAAGTCCATGCCATGCTCATAATTCTGGTCAATCTTAACTTTGTAATGATGTGCTCCTCTCCCTTCAATAGAATTTTCTATCTCAGTTCCATCAGCTTTCAAAGGGATATGGTTGATAGTCTCTTGAGCCATCGAAGTCATCATGGCTATTGCTAGGAAGACTAAGAATGCTTTTTGGGAGACTCTACTACCAAAAATGGCAGCTCTAGCTTCTCGTCAGCTAAATTTTGCCATAATTTGTATCCAAATTTTTTAATTTTGCAGTTTTTCTTTGGGAAATAGGGGTTTTGGGGTTTTGGGGTTTTGGGG